GGGGTAAGCATTTACACCATTGGAACCTCATTTGCCAGTAGCAAAATATGATAATTGTTTTTTTACCCTTTTATCTGGCAACAAAACTGACACCTTTTGTGTGGACCAATCAATTTCAAGGACAGTGCATACATTATCAGAGTTGTGTTTTTTGTTTGCATTCCGACTGCAGGTATTGTGGTCAATGCAAACATGACTCCTTGTAAAAAAAAGGTGTCAGTTTTGTTGCCAGATGACAGGGTAAAAAAAACTATCATATTTTGCTACTGGCAAATGAGGTTCCAATGGTGAGAAAAGGCCTCGTCGTCGGTCGGGTGCACCGCCGGTTGAAGGCCTCGCCAAATCTGTGGCCATCTCATCCCGCGGTGATGTTGTCACTCCACCTGGGGGCCACGTGGCACGACTCCGCGTCCGCCATGAGCCGATTTCATCGCCGCTCAAACTGCCCCGTGGACGTCCCCACGGACGCCGCGTTTCACTCCTTGGGCTGCCACTCCGTCGTTGTTATTATTCTGGTCGCGACGCGTCCTGCCTGCCCAAGCCCACTCACTTAGCGACGTGGACGATACGTGGAACCTTTTTGTGGCAGTAGCAAAGTGTGAACAAATAAGACTCTGTGTTTACCCCTTCTGGAAATAATACAGGTGTTGAGATCAGACTAACACGTAGCAGGCTTTCGCGACCAATATTATTCATAATAAATGTTTTTGGGTTAGATCTGGTTGTTTATAAATGTGGCGTAACCCTCCACCACCCGACACGGCCAATCAGCAAAAAAGTGTCACGTTGACAAAAGACGAATAGTTCACTACTTTAGCCCACCGGTGTGTGTGTGTTGAAGAGTGAATCCACAACATTTACAATTGCAATGTTGTGGATTCACTCTTCAACACACACCGGTGGGCTAAAGTAGTGAACTATTTGTCTTTTGTCAACGTGACACTTTTTTACTGATTGGCCGTGTTGGGTGGTGGAGGGTTACGCCACATTTATAAATAACGCGATCTAACCCAAACACATTCCTGCGGAGAGAGCTGGTAGGAACGTTGGGTTGCTCGGTCAATGGCCAGGGTCAACGGCGGCGTGGTGTATTCCGCAAATATGCCCGACTGTGAGGGCGGGCACAAGCCGGCGTGAGTAGGTTAAACGTTGAGTTTTATAAGGGCACCACGGGGTGAGCAGCCCCTCCCCACCCAGCCCCTCCCCTCCCCACCCAGCCCCTCCCCACCCTCCCCACCCTCCCCACCCAGCCCTTCCCTGCACGACGGACGGACGGACACAATAACCCCCTGTGGGCTGGTGTAACCAGGAAGTTCCTACCAGTATAAACGTTTATTATGAGGTGTTGAGATGTTCAAACACCAAGTGGAAACATTTTGCAAGGAATCAGCCAGACACGGCGCTTGTGGTGAACATGCAAACAACGATCACGTGGCTCTGATGATAATATTGCTGCGCGTTGTCTCTGAAACTGTTTGGCCTACACCAGAGACTGCATCCTTCTTGAGGGCCCAGTCTCACCAGCAGTGTCAGACCACTGACAGTCACTGGGTGATGCCAGCAGCCTGTAGAAGTTATCTCTGATCCGTGCCTTCCCCTACCTCTCTCTCAGCATAATCTGCAGCGGTCGCTATCCTCCTAACTCCCGGTCGGTTCCGTCTCTCCGAGGTCCCCGATAATTGTCGTGTCTCTCACCACAACCTGCAATCCTCAATTGTTTCTATTTCTGATTATCCACGCGCCTGTGCGGCGGTGGCTCACCCGCTCGGCCTGCAATCCAGCAGCGTGGGGGCAGCAGCGAGGGGTTGGTGGGTCACTCACAGATGCTGCCGTGAAACTACCCCGTGGGCGTCGGGTGGAAGGAGCCACACCCCAGGGAGGAGGCTGCATAGCAACACACGCAAGGACATATTCACATGCACAAGTACAGACAAATTACGATGTTAAATGCCTCCACAAATATGCACTTTACACGCACGCAATGTGAACACACATTGACATAAACAAATGCAGATGCGCAAACATGAAGACGTAATGACATACACAAATACAGACACACACACAGGCAGACGTAGATATGAACAACGTACACCACTACAAACATACACACAAAGGACAAATATTCCCTGGATGGGATAGAGTGTTGCCCCCTCGCATCGCGTGGGGGTTTTCCCGAGGTGCTCCAGTTTCCGTCCTGCGCGTAAACGCCCATTGGTCGGCGGCCGATAACAACCTCGTGTGTAGGGGACCGCAGAGCGTGGAGCGATTGTTGGTGGGGCAATTGTTGGTGGGGCTCGCTCACCACCTCGCGGCTGCCTTCCCGCTAGTCTGTGGTTCCTCCTCGTACTCTTAGTTTTTTCGGTAAAGTCACGTAGGTAAAAAATGAAATTAAAATTATTTTTATTATATATTTTTTTATTAATTTTAATTTCATTTTTTACCTACGTGACTTTACCGAAAAAACTAAGAGTATGAATCCTTGCAGTCACGAAAGCTTCAAATCTAGTTCCTCCTCGTGTTGCTGCGTCTTTCTTCCTCTCACAGTACTCTTGACTTGACGACGACGATGATGATGATTATCACAGTACAAGGCAGTCTAGTAACACATTTCCATGGTGAGTTTTGAATTTCCTGCCACGGGCTCTTTGGGCCCATCCCTGACTCGTGATCGGTCGATCGGCCTCCAGATTTTTAATTTGAAATAATTGGGAATTTCGCGACGTACATTTTTTCCCCTTGAACGACAACTACGGATGATTTTTTGTGACAATTTTGTATTCTCAGTTTAACTCGTAGGCTTTCGCGCCCAGTATTATTCATAATAAAGGCTGTTGGGTTAGATCGTGTAAGTATCAATGCGTCTCAACCCTCCACCACCCGACACGGCCAATCAGTAAAAAATGTGTCACGTTGACAAAACGCCACTTAGTCACTTCTCCAGCCCACCGGTGTGTTTGAAGAGTGAATCCACAACATTTAGAATTTGAGTACGACGTTCCGCTGGTAATGACATAACATTCTCTAGAACAAACTCCTCCACCCCCTCCACATTAAGCGGTCACCTTTGCTCACTCGTTTCCGCCCCGCACTGAAAACTCGCACTTATTGTTCCAGAGCATCACCCCACGACCCCCGAAATCTCCCTCCTCGTAACCACGAACCATCGGCCGTTCCCGGTGACCTCTTCGTCATCTCATTACACGGCTCTCACTCATTAACCCCCGCTCATTGAATCCACTCGTCATCATTCACGGCCATCAAACTTTGCTCTCCGCCGAAGTCGCTCATCACATCATCCAGTTTACTCTCCTCGTCCCCACCACGATACACAACCATGCGTTGTACCGTTGTCAATTCTGCGCAAAGCGCCTCGGATAAAGCGCTACAGAAATGATTCAAAGAAACAAGATAACATGCGCGTGTACGTCTTCGTGCCGTTAGCCGCTGCCGATGGTGCGAGTTTGAGGGGTCGGAGGTCAGACGCTGCAGGGCGTGGGGAGGCCCTCATCCAGCAGGGGATTGAGACAGTACTTGCCCAATGAGATGCCACCTCCTCTGATCAATCTCGCCTTGCCACCTGTTGCGCAGAGCGCACCCGCACACATTTCAGTGTCAGCGCCCGGCTTCTATTAAAACTCTGCAGGACGCGGTGACGGGTTGTTAACTACCTCGCCTGGTGTACAGGAGGTCGTGGGTTCGATCCCGACCCTGACGATGCCTGCTGCTGTATATTTGGAGTTTGCGTATCTCTCTCATCATCATCACCACGGTGGCTAGATGTTAATTATCTCACCTGGTACACAGGAGGTCGTGGGTTCGATCCCGACCCTGACGACGCCTGCTGTATATTTGGAGTTTGCGTCTCTCTCTCATCATCATCATCACCACGGTGGCTAAGAGATGTTAACTACCTCGCCTGGTTCCCAAGAGGTCGTGGGTTCAATCTCGACCCTGACGCCTGCTGCTGCTGTATAATTAGAGTTTGCGTCTTTTTCTCATCATCATCACCACGGTGGCTAGGAGATGTTAACTACCTCGCCTGGTACACAGGAGGTCGTGGGTTCAATCTCGACCCTGACGACGCCTGCTGCTGTGTATTTGGAGTTTGCGTCTCTCTCTCATCATCATCAGGGTGGCTAGGAGATGTTAACTACGTCGCCTGGTACACAGGAGGTCGTGGGTTCGATCCCGACCCTGACGATGCCTGCTGTACATTTTGAGTTAATGCGTCTCTCTCTCCCCGTGGTTGCGTGGATTTTTGTCCGGGTCCTCCTTCCACATTTAGAATCAACGTCGCGCCTTTAGAGTGTCTGGCTGCTATCAATTTCCACGCGACCATGATGACGAGCCACTGCGTTGAGCTCTCATTTGTGATAGCCGGTTGGTGGCTTCTGACGAAGAGCTACTACATGGCAGCTCAGTGGCCCTTGCCTGGTAAAATAAATAAATAAAAATAGTTTGTAGGGTTTTTTAATAGTTTTGAATAAAGTTCAACTCGGCACCAGTACCAGATCTGAGTACAAATCAATTTCTGCCACCCCAGAGCAGATGCCAAATCCCGGGACTGTCGCGGCCGGCACTGATATCTGGGCCCCAACCCACCCAGGCTGGGCCACCTCGTGTCCAACGTTCCATCTCCTACCCCAGGCTGAGCCACCTCGTCAGGGTCACGTCCTCCTGTGTCTCCCACCTCGTCATGTCCCCTGCGTCTCCCACCTCGTGGGGATGGACACGTCTCCTGTCTCCCACCTCGTCAGGGTCACGTCCTCCTGTGTCTCCCACCTCGTGGGGATGGACATGTCTCCTGTCTCCCACCTCGTCAGGGTCACGTCCCCCCGTGTCTCCCACCTCGTCATGTCCCCTGCGTCTCCCACCTCGTCACGTCCTCTCTGTCACCCACCTCGTCACGCGCCCCTTGTATCTTCCACCTCGTGGGGGTTCAAGTCTCCTATCCCCCCCCCCCCCGTGTCTCCCTGCCCCCCCCTCCCGCACCACCCCAGATGGACGCGGCCACGCTGGAGGCGCTGGCGGAGCGCCTCTACCGCGTGCTCAAGGTGGAGCCGTTCGTCGTGAAGGGCTCCAGGGACTGCGACGAGAGGCCGCCGCCGCCGCCGCCACCGCCGCCGGGCCGCGGGGTGGACGCGTCGCCCGCCGAGGGCGCCGTGAGCCCCGGCGTCAAGAAGAAGGAACGCAAAGAGAAGAAGTCGGGCCGCCACGTGGAGCACAAGGCCACCGAGGTCGCCAACGCGGTGGGTGAGGCTCGCGCGGGCGCCCCTGCAGAGTGATGTGGTTGTCACAGCTGATGATGATGATTGCGTGTGTTGCAATCGAAACGTCGTGAGAATTTTATTGTTTTATTTATATTTTTATTATTTCCCTTCTTGCGTGACTTTACCGAAAGAACCGAGAGTATGAATCCCTGCAGTCAATTTTATTGTTGAATATATTTTTTATTTTATTATTTCCCTTCTTGCGTGACTTTACCGAAAGAACCGAGAATATGAATCCCTGCATTCAATTGTATTGTTTAATATGTTTTTTATTTTATTATTTCCCTTCTACGTGACTTTACCGAAAGAACCGAGAGTATGAATCCCTGCAGTCAATTTTATTGTTTAATATATTTTTTTATTTTATTATTTCCCTTCTACGTGACTTTACCGAAAGAACCGAGAGTATGAATCCCTGCAGTCAATTTTATTGTTGAATATATTTTTTATTTTATTATTTCCCTTCTTGCGTGACTTTACCGAAAGAACCGAGAATATGAATCCCTGCATTCAATTTTATTGTTTAATATGTTTTTTATTTTATTATTTCCCTTCTACGTGACTTTACCGAAAGAACCGAGAGTATGAATCCCTGCAGTCAATTTTATTGTTTAATATATTTTTTTATTGTATTATTTCCCTTCTACGTGACTTTACCGAAAGAACCGAGAGTATGAATCCCTGCAGTCAATTTTATTGTTTAATATATTTTATTATTTTATTATTTCCCTTCTACGCGACTTTGCCGAAAGAACCATGAAGATGAATCCCTGCAGTCACGAAAGCTTTAAATCTAAAAATCATGTGGAGATTGTATAGCAGAAGGCAAATTACTCTGACAGGCGTGGTGTCGATTTTAAGTGTGAAGGGAGAAAACCGGAGGACCCGGAGAAAAATCTACGCGACCATGGGGAGAGAGAGACACGCAATCTCCAAATATACAGCAGCAGGGTCGGGATCGAACCCACGACCTCCTGTAGACCAGGCGAGGTAGTTAACATATCATAGCCACCGTGATGATGATGAGAGAGAGAGAGAGACACGCAATCTCCAAATATACAGCAGCAGGCGTCAGGGGGTCGGGATCGAACCCACGACCTCCTGTAGACCAGGCGAGGTAGTTAACATCTCATAGCCACCGTGATGATGATGAGAGAGAGAGAGACACGCAATCTCCAAATATACAGCAGCAGGCGTCAGGGGGTCGGGATGGAACCCACGTCCTCCTGTAGACCAGGCGAGGTAGTTAACATCTCCTAGCCACCGTGATGATGATGAGAGAGAGGCACACAAACTCCAAATATACAGCAGCAGGCGACAGGGTCGGGATCGTGTACCAGGCGAGGTAGTGACACAGAAGGTTTCCCCTTGGCTTTGTGCAGCCCCTGAAATTGATTGGTCCACACAAAAGGTGTCAGTTTTGTTGCCAGATAAAAGGGTAAAAACCCAATTATCATATTTTGCTACTGGCAAATGAGGTTCCAATGGTGTAAATGCTTCACCCCGAGCTCTCATACTCTGATGGTGCATTGTCTTTGAGTTGTGCGCCTTTTGGCGTCATCTGGTCCAACACCTTGTGAGACGAGGATCTAAGGAAAGCTGTCTCGGGTGTGGACCAATCAATTTCAAGGACAGTGCATACATTATCAGAGTTATGTGTTTTGTTTGCATTCCGACTGCAGGTATTGTGGTCATTGCAAACATGACAAATTGTAAAAACGGTGTCAGTTTGGAGGCCTCTTCTCACCAACGCTCGCACACTTTTGGCGATCGGTGCTGTTGTTGGCGCGGCCGCTCACACGCCGTGGAACGCCGTCTTGCCACCGGAAATCAGGGGCGACCGGTAGATGTATTCAATGTGTCGTAAACCCTCCACCACCCGACGCGTCACGTCAACAGAACGCGCCAATTGGTTCACTGCGTCAGCCCACCGGTGTGTTGGACAGTGAATCCACAACGTTGACAATTTGATTACCGTGACGTGTCGCTGCTATCACTGGGCCATGTGCCAGTAAAGTGAAGCAATCCACCCACTTCAGGTCTTAAATACAGCAATTCAGGCAATTGTCAATGGCAGTGTTCATTTGTGAGGATCACAAGAGCCAGAGTAAGCCTGCCTTTGGGATTAGTAGGGTGAAGTGTGAATGCATGAGGCTCATAGAGCCAGACTACGGCTCCCTAATCATTCATAGGGGTGAAGTGTGAATGCATGAGACTCATAGAGCCAGACTATGCCTCCCTTAGAAGTTATAGGGGTGATTGTGAATGCATGAGGCTCATAGAGCCAGACTATGGCTCCCTTAGAATTCACAGGGGTGATTGTGAATGCATGAGGCTCATAGAGGCGGGTTCGTACTCTCTTAAGATTAAAAGGTTTCTGTGTTATTCTCGAAGCTCATGAAGCCAGACGAAGTCTCCCTCTGGCTTCGTATGGTCCACTCTTACTTCCCAAGGCGCATAGAGCCAGACTAAGGCTGTCTTAGGAGTAATAGGGTTCAGTCTTAATTCCCAAAGTTTATATGGCCAGACTAAGGCTGTCTTAGGAGTCATATGGTTCAGTCTTAATTCCCAAAGTTTATATGGCCAGACTAAGGCTCCTTTAGGTATCCTGAGGTTCAGTGTTAATTCTTAAGGTTCGTAGAGCCAGACTATGGCTCTCTTCGGACTTGTGCAGTTTAGTGTTTGCTCGTGCTCACAAAGCCAGACTATGGTTCCATTCAGATTAATAATGCTCTTTGCTGTGGTTGTCCCACCTGTTGACGGATGCTTGTGTTGTGTCCGAAACGTCGTGATTTAAGTTATTTTCTTTTATTTACCCACGTGACTTTACCGAAAGAACCAAAGAGTATGGATTCCTGCAGTCAGGAAAACTTCAAATCTAGAATTTTGTTTGGTGTTAATTTCTGAAGTGGGAGATCATTGTCTTTGTGTGTGCGTGTGTGTGTTACAGGCAGGCAATCATGAGAGAGCTGTGGATGGGAGTGATGGTGAGATGACATGTACACACTTAAATACATAAACACGTAAATACATATACACATACATAAACACATAAATACACAAACACGTAAACACATAAATACATATACACGTAAATACATAAACACGTAAATACATAAACACATAATGCATAAACACATACATGCACAAACACGTAAACACGTAAATACATAAACACGTAAATACATAAACACATACATACACAAACACGTAAACACGTAAATACATAAGCACGCTAACACGCGCTTACATCCACATAGAGGCATGATGGTGAGTGGTGATGGTGAGTGATGGTGAGTGGTGGTGAGTGGTGGTGAGTGGTGATGGTGAGTGGTGATGGTGATTGATGGTGAGTGGTGAGTGATGGTGGTGAGTGGTGATGGTGAGTGATGGTGAGTGGTGATGGTGAGTGGTGATGGTGAGTGATGGTGGTGAGTGATGGTGAGGGATGGTGGTGAGTGGTGATGGTGAGTGATGGTGAGTGGTGGTGGTGAGTGGTGATGGTGAGTGATGGTGAGTGGTGATGGTGAGTGATGGTGAGTGGTGATGGTGAGTGATGATGGTGAGTGATGGTGAGTGATGGTGGTGAGTGATGGTGAGTGATGGTGGTGATGGTGAGTGGTGGTGAGTGGTGATGGTGGTGAGTGGTGATGGTGAGGGGTGGTGAGTGGTGATGGTGGTGAGTGGTGATGGTGGTGAGTGGTGATGGTGGTGAGTGGTGATGGTGGTGATGGTGAGTGGTGATGGTGGTGAGTGGTGAGTGATGGTGAGTGGTGATGGTGGTGAGTGGTGATGGTGGTGATGGTTAGTGGTGAGTGATGGTGAGTGATGGTGAGTGGTGAGTGATGGTGAGTGGTGATGGTGAGTGATGGTGAGTGGTGAGTGATGGTGAGTGATGGTGAGTGATGGTGAGTGGTGATGGTGAGTGATGGTGAGTGGTGATGGTGAGTGGTGATGGTGAGTGATGATGGTGAGTGATGGTGAGTGATGGTGGTGAGTGATGGTGAGTGATGGTGGTGATGGTGAGTGGTGGTGAGTGGTGATGGTGGTGAGTGGTGATGGTGAGTGATGGTGAGTGGTGATGGTGGTGAGTGGTGATGGTGGTGATGGTGATGGTGGTGAGTGGTGATGGTGGTGAGTGGTGATGGTGGTGATGGTGAGTGGTGATGGTGATGGTGGTGATGGTGGTGAGTGGTGATGGTGGTGATGGTGATGGTGGTGAGTGGTGATGGTGGTGAGTGGTGATGGTGGTGATGGTGAGTGGTGATGGTGGTGAGTGGTGAGTGATGGTGAGTGGTGATGGTGGTGAGTGGTGATGGTGGTGATGGTGAGTGGTGAGTGATGGTGAGTGATGGTGAGTGGTGAGTGATGGTGAGTGGTGATGGTGAGTGATGGTGAGTGGTGAGTGATGGTGAGTGATGGTGAGTGGTGATGGTGAGTGGTGAGTGATGGTGAGTGGTGATGTTGAATGATGGTGAGTGATGGTGAGTGGTGAGTGATGGTGAGTGGTGATGGTGAGTGGTGATGGTGAGTGGTGATGGTGAGTGATGATGGTGAGTGATGTGTGGTTAGTGATGGTGATGTGAATGCTGCCGTGATGTTGGGTGATGTTCGCTGATGGGCGACCGTGGATGATGTTACACCTCGGCTCGCGTTCCTTATAAAGCGACGTCTATTCCGAGCCCAGCGACGCTCACAGAACCCTGGCCAGGATTAGCCGCATCCACTTACTGCCACGCACGCACACAGCCACACACACACAGCTACACACAGACAGCCACACACACACAGCTACACACACACAGTTACACACACACAGCCACACACACACACAGCCACACACACACAGCCACACACACACAGTCACACACACACAGCCACGCACACAGTCACACACACACAGCAACACACAGCCACACACACACACAGCCACACACACACAGCCACACACACACAGCCACACACACACAGCCACACACACACACATAGCCACACACACACAGTCACACACACACACAGCCACACACACACAGTCACACACACACACAGCCACACACACACAGCCACATACACACAGTCACACACACAGCCACACACACACAGCCACACACACACAGTCACACACACACACACACAGCCACACACACACAGCCACATACACACAGTCACACACACACACAGCCACACACACACAGCCACACACACACAGTCACACACACAGCCACACACACAGTCACACACACACACAGCCACACACACACACAGCCACACAACAACAACAACAACCGCCATTCGCCACTAAGTGGCGGTGACGTCACCACGACGCTTGTGCCAGGCCATGTGCACCTTGAGGCCACGTGAAGTGTCGAACGCCCGCTGGCAGGAGGTCACGGGGCAGACCCAGCAGGTGCCACGGGTCGACTGACCGAGATGACCGAGATGACTGGCTGATGCGCCACCTGTGCCCCCTACTGTACCAACTTGCTGTGCTTTAGCCACCCGGCGCTCCGCTCGTTGTTGTGAGCGTCGCTCCTCCGCCCTCCGTTGTTGTTGGAGGGCGACTGCCTCCAACTGCCCAGTAGCGTCCTTCACGAGCCTCCTCCACTGAGGCCGATCTTGACACCGCTGGTACCAGTCATCGGCAAGTCCACTCAGCTCCACGTCCTCCTGTACCACATCACTCCATCTCTTCTCCAGCCCGTGCCGCGCCCGTCTAGCCCCCTCTATCCGGCCGAACAAAAGCTGTTTGGGCATGCGGTGGCTGGGCATGCGGGCTACATGACCCAGCCAACGCAGCCTTGCCTGCCGGAGGAGCTCACCGATGGGACTTTGCCCAGATCTTTCAAGGACTTGTGAGCTCCTCACACAATCCAGCCTGGTTAAACCCAGGATGGATCGTAGGCAGGCCAGCCTAAATGTTTCCAACCGGCGAAGATGCTCCACTAGGGGGGTCCACGTTCCGCAAACGTAGAGAAGGGAGGGAATGACCGTGGCCGAGAAGACCTGAAGCTTCGTGCGGAGCGACAGACCAGGTAGCTTCCACACAGCGTTACGCAACCGATGAAAAGATATTGCCGCTCGACTGATTCGGAGTGAGACCTCTGCTGATAAACCGGAGCCGGTCATAAGCACACTGCCCAGGTATGGGAAACTCTCCACTCTCTCCACAACTGCCCCATCACCAATTGGGAGTTGTGGGGGTGGAGTGTCCGATGGTACAAAATACCCAGGTAGGTGCTTAGTTTTGGTGGGGCTGATGGTAAGGCCCCACCTCTTAGTGGCACGCTCCAGTCTCAGCAGCAGCGTCTCCAACTCCTCTTATGAATGAGCAGCTATTACCAAATCATCGGCATACATAACGTGGTTGACTAATAGGGAGCCATTCCTTGATCGCACCCGGGCGTCGATCAGCCTCCCATTATATCTGTACCAAATGGAAATTCCCCCGGTACAGCTATTGAAGGCTTCACGAACTGCATGGTCAAAATAGATGTTAAATAATGTGGGAGCCAGCGGACATCCCTGTCGCACCCCAAGGTGTACAGGGAAAGGCTCTGACTCCCGGCCACGTAGTTTTACCCGGGCCCGCTCACCATCATGAAGGTCCTTAATGATCGTGAGCAGAGGGTCAGGGACTCCGAAAGCACGAAGAACAGCCCAGAGCCCTGGCCTACTGATGGTGTCATAGGCCTTGACCAGGTCAATAAAGCAGAGATGTAGGTCTTGTTGGAATTCCCTACACCTCTGCTGTAGCAGACAGACAGAAAATATGGCATCTGTGCAGGACCGCCCTTTCCTGAAACCGCATTGGGGCTCCGCAAGCCTCTCCTCAGCGTGCCTAGCAAGGCGATGTTGAATAATCCTTGCCAGGATCTTTCCCGGCACACTGAGGAGTGAGATGCCCCTGTAGTTTTTACAGTCTGTGCGGTCCCTCTTCTTAAAGAGGGGGACCACCAGGGCATCCTTCCAATCCTGTGGAACCGGTCCAGTGGTCCAGACTGTTGTTATCATGTCATATAGGGCAGTCTGTGCACAAACGCCACCCTCCCTCAGCATTCGCTTGGGAGTTCATCTCTGCCCGGTGCCTTTCCTGGTCTCAGACTCTGGATCGCCTTCAGTACTTCCTCAACAGATAGCACCTCAACCAGCCAGGGGGTGACTTCTTCCAATATTTGAGGCACCGCAGCCTCAGCATGATTATCCCCACTTTGTGCCATGATGTTTTCCTGGCTGAGGGATTTCCCCTCCCCCAGGACCTCACAGAAATGCTCAGCAAATCTGCAAACCTTTTCCGGGGGGTCGGAGATTGGATCACCGTTTTTTCCCCTAATGATGGTAATAGGTGTGGTGCTGCAGGTTACTTTTTTGATGGAGTTAAATAGTGATTTGTGATCGCGGGCCACTGAGGCAGACTCAATCTCCTCAGCAACCCGCGACCACCACCCATCCTTGCAGCGCCTTACGGCTCTCCGAACCTCCGAGCGAAGGCTGCGGTAAACCTCCTCATTCTCTGACGTGGGATGCTGTAGCCGATGAAAGTGGGCCTGTCGCTTTTTATCAACTATCCTCCTCTGTCAGCCAGGGTTTCTGGGGAGGTCTGGACCGCGTACCCAAAGCAGCCATTGCAGCTGCATGAGTCACAGTCCTAAACCTCGCCCATTTGCCCTCGATATCAGGAGTGGGGGACGATGCCAACCCCAGCTGCAAGCGATGATGAAATTCTCGCTTGCAACTTTCATCAGCTAACTGACACCAGGCCACTTTAGGTTGGAATGGAGTCCTGGGTGTACACCCACCACTGGAGTGGAAGAATAGCAGGCGCATCTTACAGATGACTAGTCGATGGTCAGAGGGCAGATCAGCTCCACGGTAGGTCCTGGTGTCAAGGACATGGGCTCGCATCCGCTGGTCCGTCACTATGTAGTCCAGCAGATGTTCTTGCTTGGACCCGGCATGCATCCATGATGTTATGTGGATGCACCGATGC